ACTTATTCTGTACACGCCAACGACCTTTCCAATGTTCGTTCAGGTCTATGTCAACTACAAGTGGATGACTCGGATCCCAAAGTTTAAGTACCAGTGCCTCAATTTCATGCAACCATTGCAAATCATTGGTCGTCACACTGGTATCTTCGTTCGAATGACGTACGTTGCGTCCATATTTCATTCGAGAAGGACTCAGCCAGCAACTTTGTTGTGAACGTTCAGGATTAACCAGAAGATGTCATGAAGATGAATGCCAAAAATGATTTCGGTAGCTGGGCCTTTTCAAAAAGTTCTCTCTACTGCACCATGAAAACTCGGCTTAAAAGGCATTTCTCATTCTATTTGAATGGAATTCTGAATACTCTATTGGGCCTATGGAAGCGTCCAAAGAGCTTCTACGAATACGGTTGCTGGCCTACATGCGTGAACCTTGGAGCCGCTTTCCTGACATTGTCCTGTTTATTCGGAGAACTAATACTTGCTTACGCCAAGTGTGAGCAAGGATAGGCCAACAAGTTCTCCAACGTTACCCCACCAACACACGACTGAGGTATGGTAGGCATTTTTTCAAGCTTAGAGTGCACAAATGTGTCAGGTACAAAAATAACCCGCATTTTGGGTAGTTGCCGCGTCGAATAGCATTCTTTTGACGGTTGTAGGGGCCCCATTTTCTACCCAGTTGAAAGCATTATTAGACGCTTTTTATGCGAATCCTAGCGCGGCTAACTTTTTCATGTCCTTTCCTTTATTGTGTCTTTTGGGTGAGCAAACCCACCATACGTCAAGAACGAAGCCGACTCGGGAAGATTTGGCATGAACCTTAATCCTGTATGTTACTCCGCAGGTCCGAGATGCACTTACGGGCATGCCACATGATTCTTTTGGGGACGAAGTTTCGTAATTGAGATTGCGTAAACTTGTGTGATATAATCTAACCATAGCAGTGCCCGTCAAGATAAACCGATAGGAAAAAAATCAGGCAATTATTTTAAGAATAGAGAGTAATGCAGATTTTTTTAAAATTTTTTTTTAATTCACTTGTCCTTAGCCCAGAAAAACAATGCACTTCTCTTACGTTAGCAGCCTTAAAAGACCTACCAACCGATGAAAATCATATTGCACTCGTGGGACATGGTGAATTTTAACTCCCCCCTTATCCTTTTTAAAAGTCCATTTCATTCGTCCGCGTGCGATACTTTATTTTCTTTCTTAGATTTCTGCTCGCCTATTTTGATGGAAACCAGGTGTGGAGGAGAACATTTCTCATCGATTACTCTCAATTGTTGCAGACTGTCGAGCCAGTTACTGTTCGCGTTCTCGGTATCACTCACTGCATTGGTATGATCATGGCATTGATAACAAACGCTAGTCTGCAAATTCAGATTCATGCTTGGCCAAATTTCTCCGAATCAATGACTAGAATTGTTTCAATCCAAGTAAACATCAGTTGTAGTTTTAATTTCATAATAATTTAGCGAAAAATAATGTCGTCTTTTTCTTTTTCGGTCTATGCGATTGCCACCGGGAATTCAGCACAGAGAAACATTCTACGGTCAGTATACAATAGTTGCCATCGAACAGTAACCGGGCCCTGTAAAAGCAGGGAAAAATAAAATAAAATGAAAGACAAATACTAGCGATGAAACATTTACTGGGTACATTTATCGTGCACATTCCAGATGGATTATTCTGCAAAAACACCCGGCAATCATAAACTCAAACGGCTGACTTTTTTTCAGTGTACGTGGGATGGGTCGGCATACTAAATAAAGTAGCTGAGTGCCGCATGAAGCACTTATTTAACAAAAATACTGCCAACTGATCGGTTGGATGCAAAAGGGTCTCTGGTTTCATACAATTCAAGAGGGCTCATCTAAACTCATCTGCGTTCTGTTCTATGCACCGTACACACGTATATTTCTCGTTCGCGACTTACTAATTCGGCGGTGTTGGGCACCGTCCCAGAGTAACTGTATATGTATTCGACTCCCGTTTTGATAGGACAACTTGGGTTCATGTGAATACATAAACCATTTTGAGGGAGTAGCACGAGAATGCGCTCACCATGCTCAACTTTATGACCTCCAGCATCAACGTCTGTGACTGTTCAAAAGAAAGTGCACAGGAAAATGAACGTTTCAACATAGAGTATTTATGAAGAATAAATCATTATTCTCTGACCATCAGATCAGCAATTCTGGTCAAAACTACAGATTGTGAATTTTGTAAACCAATTCATGAACACAGATGTGTACCATCATGGTTCCCGCACCAGCAGTCTCCGACAATCTCCACATGGATGATGAAATCGGCAGTAATCCATAAGGAATAAACTGTTAACCTCAACGCGACGGGAAGTCTTCATTCAATTCCCCACGCACTCAGTCTGGATTCGATAAACTGGAAACATTTCATTCACTTCAGTAAGGCCGGAATAAATTTTATGCCGAGGGGATTTGTTTGAAAGACGTTCAATTAAGAATTCCGTGAGGTCGTTCGAAATATCTCAGTGGAATGGTTCGTGCTACAACTCACGTGCTTTGAATTTAATAGTGATGGAAACGTGCGATCCCCTCTTCAGGATGCAACGATCACTATCACAAGGTGAAACATCCAGTTTCAATAAGTTGGCATCGTTTGGACCTGAATATCGAACATAAAGAGATAGAATATAAGGGGTATGTCATTTCTGTACTGAGGAACCCTCAAGATAAACTGAGTTTTCAGTTTTGCACTATGTAGCCGCCTCTAGTACATGAGTTTGCATTCTTTGTCTCAAACGTAAACGCTTCCAAAAATGATAATTCTTTGGGCTGGAGTGAATTAATTTCCGCTCATAAGCTAAAAAGCGGAGCCGTATTCAAACTAGGGGAATGTAAAGCATTACGGTAATAATTTGTGCTCAACAAGTGGCGCGGGGAATATAATTAAGCTTGCAGAATTTTACCGGACAGAAACCCCAGAACGTATGAGTCAAAAAAGAACGGTCAATAGATTTCATTTAGTGAAGTCCGCCTCTTGTACAGTATATCTATCTATATACGCTTGTGATTTTGCACTACTGAAAGACTGACCACAGTTGGCGAAGCCCAGAGCAAATGTAATGTAGATTCCGCACAAAATCGGAACACATATGTAGCAAATGAAACCTGGCATTGTGTATAGGTTAAATGACGAACCGATCTTTCGGTTATGGTTTAACCACATATAAATAACGGTCGAGCTCAGCCGTCATATGACTATTACTTGGCGTTTCATGCATTGCCAGCCACAACCCCCGCAGTTTTCATACTTACTGAGCATTTTACACGTACGCGATCAGCGCTCCTCCAATCTCATATCGACCTTCGAGAATATAATTATAGAAAATCGTAAAATAATGTGGCTTACCCAAAACCCAGCACATTGAGTTAAAGCGTTATTAATACACCTAAGATGATGTAGTGTCGTCTGACAATCGCTAAAGTACAGAAATTCCTGTTGTAACTGAGGAAATTATCCTAGGAGTTGCAATACATTTCGTTGAAGGGCGTCATTATGTGTCACCACAAATTACGCAGCTGATGATAGGATGGGATGATGATGGGATACTACTGAAATGTTCTTTAAAACATCACTCGCCAGAAGACGAACGTCAGGCACCCCCAAAATTGGATGCAGCGGACATTTAGGTGGCAAGTTTGCGAATATCCTGTAAAGGTTTTTTCATGCATTTGAATAAAGCCACTAGTGTTTACGACTGTCCCATTCTATGCGTGATTTGACTGGAAATTTCCTTCCTTGGCCAAGGGTGGAATTTTAAACATTTCCTTGTTTCACTTCCTTTGCATTGCTGATTGTTTGGTACCCTAAAGAAAAATGGCCAGTCCCTTTTTGCTAAATCAAATGCTTTTCTTGCTGACTTACATTCTTTAATTGAGCGGAATATTCACGTTGCTCACCACGCTGTAAACAAAGAAAATACGCATACAGGAATGCCTTATATACCGAGATGACAATCCGTTCGTTGTAACCTAATCAAGGATAGAGGTTGGAAGATCTGTTGGCTGTATGGTCAACCTCATTAAATTTGCGAAAAATTGGGTGGGGTTTGAACCATTTCTTTCGCTGATTACGTCACCGTGTGGAGTAAATTTCTATCGGTCAATATCATAACTCGTGTGGCATGTCTAATAAAACGTTCTGGTTCCCACAGAAGTAGCTCCACAATATCGGTGATCCCAAGCCTTAAAAACGGCAAAAAATGGGGAACAACTCAAAAGAACGCGTGGCCCTCTCAGTGTTTCCATTGAGGGGCCGTAAATTTGTTCTGCTGGAATTACCTAACATCGTGATGCAGTAAACATTATCTGAGCATTTAGCACGTTTCGTTGCACGATGAGGGGTAAAAACTATCCTCCATTATTTAACGTCAAAATTGCATTAAAGTAGCAAATTTCAAAACACCAAACTATTGAAATCCTAGATACCTGATCCACTTAACCTTACCTAAAGCCGTTGAAGATATATGGTCTTTGATGCTGTTTGTTTCAGATCGTCAAGACTTTTAGCCTGAATGATAACGTTTTGTGTTGTGAGCTCATTATGTTTATCTTAAACACACTGGCCTTGTTTTTTCATGCGTAGATGCCAGATTAACGTGCCACGAATCACACAGGAAGTTATCTTTTTTGATGTTGAAGTTTGACGTGATATAAGCAAAAACGTATCTTTCCAAACTGTTTGCGAGTAAACTAAATAATTCAAATTGGTTTAGTTCTCATAGCTTTATAATTTGTATGTGCAGAGACAAATTTCATGTGTAAAACCTATGCCGATGGACCTACTGGCGAAGCGTTAAAAACAGATGATGCATTATCAGTTAACTACACGACCCTACAATTTCTGAGAACCCACTACTGGCAAGGGCTGGTGTGCACCAAGCAGCGTAGCGCAAACTCCACAAAATAAATGAAAAAAGCCTGTTTTTATGTTCCCTGGTTGCCTACGGAAGACCATTTATTTCTTCCGAACCACAAATTTAGTTACCACCGTGAAAACGTCTAGCCAGCTTCAGGAAAAGTCAGTGAGATTTGGCCGAATGGATCTACTGTCTTCCGCCAAATGACAAAATACAAGATGACAAATGAAAAAAGGCAAGGCATGCAGGCGAACTGCGGATCTTGGGAGATATTAGCCGAGCCGTGACTTTTTGTGAATATCTGACACTCATTGATGCTCTCGTGGAACATCCGTACCTTGCCTATTCTTTTATTTTTACGGTATGTACAGTGGTATATTTGCGTGCTTAATCCGAGTATATGAGACTACACAATTTCCTCTTATCCTTTTCAGAGTTCATCAAGCGCGCGGAGTGAAGCCTGTTGGCCGATGGGCTGCAATTTGTATGATATTTTTTTCGCTAAAGCCGTAGCCACCCGTCAGCATCAAAAGTTGCTACACATGACAAAACAGAATTTTATATATTACTGCGTCCGTGGGTGGGATTTATTTTACAGGCATTTGCCGACTAACAGGCTCTCACCCTTAACCTATGGGGAACACATTGCACTTGTAATGAAGCAGTATTTTCTCGTCATTTTTTTCTCTAGAAGTTTGTGACCCCTGCATAGAATAGCAGAAATTCCCCCTTCTCATTTGAGAAAATATTTGCTGGTCTTACACTCCAGTGATAGTGTGAAGTATGCTACTGCCCACTGAATAATATGGTTTCTTATAGCGTAAGACCTACAAATGGTTGTAAATGTTATTGGTTGATTTTTGCTGCTTGAATACAACTTTCAAATACAAATAGTTTGAAAAAATGACAACATCCATGGCTCACCATCGTCTTAGGTCGCAAACTCGGAATCCTGAAAACACTTGCATTAGGCTCAAGTAAAATAACAGCTATGGCCTGTTCGCCACTAGATGTAAGCACGACGACCACCGAGGAGTTTCAAAGCTCTCAGTTTATTGACTTGGTTTGTCAATGTTTTTCCCACAGCGAGTCCACATAAGTGACAGAACTTGCAGGGTAGGGATTTATGTTGATAATCGAATCAATGTTTTGGCTTAATCGCTATTGTAGGGGCTTCCTATAGGAAGCCCCCACACTGCGCCAACAAGACTTGTGTTTGGAGGTATATCAATAGCTGAATATGGTTGACACCCCTGAATTGTTTACTGATATTCTCTGAACACGGTGAGAGTGTTCGCATCGGCCAAAATGTTCCTGGATATTACCCCTAACACGGGGTTTCTATAAAATTTATAACCCAGGAGAAAATTAGCTCGGGCGACTCAAGCTGTCGGTGCAGTGGAAGTTATGATTCCTCAGCTGCGGGAACTTTTGTGAGTGCAAATCGGCATCGCTAACAATCAAAGCTACGTTGCCTGCTTACTTGGCCAGTTATGTTTGCTACTGAGCTCATACGAAAACACAGCTGGATTTGAATTTACTAGTATTCATAAGGGCGGGGAGGAATAACTCCGTGAACCTCAACATTTTCTTCTCTGTTTTGAACAATATGTACAAGTGAACATGTTGGGGTCCGCAGCTGCAAACATACGCCAACAACGCACGGTTCAATTTAGACCAGCTGCCGCAACCATCTACAAAACTGCATGGGTTTGTCCGAGTTTCTAGAGGCTGCGAAAATCAAAGATCCAGTTGTGCGGCAACGTTACGAACTTTGTGCGGCAACGTTACGAACTGAAAGCCTACTTTTCGTTTATTTTGTAGTAATATTTTGGGTATCCAAAGCAGTGTTCCATTTAGGGATTTTGATTTCTTCGGTTAAATTTCCTGTTATTTTATAGATCCTGCCGGAACATATGTTTACTGAGATGTGTGCACCCAGAGTTTGGTCGACGTGCTGCTTTTACCTCTAAGAGATCCTCAGGTTTCGACCCGATCCCACCATTTCGGCCTCATTCATAGTGACGGGAATAAACCGGAGATTGAATGTTCGATGTTTTCTGGTGCAGACATCACCCGAGTTGATAGTACTCCCCAAGTGAAATGTGACAGATAACGTTATGTTCTTCTCAAAATTTAGATTTATTGTGGGTTTGATGTAGAAGGGAGTATTTTGCTCAATATTAGACATAAAATAAAATGTTTTGCCACCGACTCTGATTGTAGTAACTTTAAACTAAACGTTGCAAGTTATAAAATGCATAATCGTGTCCCTTCCGTCAGCCTACAAACTTGAAAACTTCAGCGTCCTCCTACAAACTTGAAAACTTCAGCCTCCTCTAATGCCCGCTACACCATCAGATACAACAGAAGCGGACACTGAAACATATGACTCACGATCATTCACGCGGGACAATTTCCAGGCCGTTCGTGAACAGTGTTCAGGAGTAAAGGGAGAAACAGTTTGCATTCTCAAGCAAATAGATGAAAACCTGGACGAGTTATATATTTAATGACCACCCAAATAGAGCGAGGTAATCTCTCTGAGGTCATATGATTTTAGAAACCATACAATCCAACTCCAAATCGGCCCATAAGGGGCATCTACGAGACCTACAACTTTTGACATTCAACGCACTAAAACCCACAGAATAGTTTTAAATTCATAAACATGCGGCATACCAAAGTTGGCATTTTGCCCGCTACTTCAGTTTTATAGGCTAATGATATAACTAGAATGGTA